ATTTTTATGTTTATACATTTATCTAGATCAGGGATCGGCAGCCCAATACATTGATATGATTTTACCGCATTAGTGTTAGTAACGAATAGCAGAAAGTAGGCTGTGTGCATGACGTTTCACACATGTATACTGTGTGTGTGTGGCAGAGCTCGGGCAGAGAAATTTCCTATGCCCCCGAGATAGGGCCGTGCCGACCTCTGATCTAGATGTATAAAGGTAATAAAAAGGCGCGTGTAAGCATGGCGCAGTTACGTGAATCACAATCGAATGATGCACAAGAAAATGTCAAATGTCAAAATGTCAGCAGCTAGGCTTGAGCGAACACGATTGAGAGTTAGGCAGTCGCGTTCTGCAGCAATCGATTTTTTTTTTTTTTTTTTTTTTTTTTGTAATAGCAGGGTAATGTTTATTTAAAACTGTCCATTAGGGACAACCATTAAATTTTATCACGTAAACTTCACGTATAGATATTTTTAAATATTAATATGGTAGAAAAAAAAAATTAGAGTAGTAAGGGGAGGTCCAGCGGGTGTGTCCTTTTTAGTCTTCTGGGCTGCTCGCTGTTGTCCAGCAGGGAGCTAGCCAACCGGGTCGGGTGATTATGAAGCCTCTGCATGTAACGTGCGCTGCTTCTTTGTATCTCGTCCTTGACCCAAGGGAAATTGAGAACCTCGTGGATGGTGCGATTGTCATGATAGACGTGGGCCCCAGTGGCGATTCGAAGGACTCTATTTTCGAAAGCTTGCATAGTTCGGACATTCGTCTTGCTCGCAGTTCCCCAGAGCTGTATGCCGTACGTCCAGATAGGGCGTATTATTGCCTTGTAAATGAGGAGTTTAGTGGAAGTTCTCAGCTTCGATCTCCTACCCATAAGCCAGTTGAAGGATCGAAGTCTTTGAATAGCCTGTTTCCTCTTCTTAATCAGATGGGGCTTCCAGGTGAGCCTCCTGTCTAGGGTGAATCCCAGGTACCTGGGATTGTCTACCTGTGGGATTGGAGAGCCGTTAAGGTTAACTGGAGGGCAGTTGCCTTTGCAGAGAGAAAATGTGGAGGCAGTGGACTTCTCATTATTGACGGCAATGTTCCATCGCTTTTGCCAGTCGCTGAGCAAGTCAAGCTGCAATTGCATCGTATCGGCTGCCCCCAATGCGCTATCGGCGGTGGTAAGGAAGGCGGTGTCGTCTGCATAGGTTGCTGCGAGCAGGTCAGGCCTCTGAAGAACAGGGAGGTCGGCCGTGTAAGCATTGTACATCAACGGGCCAAGAACGCTGCCTTGGGGTACACCAGCGTGAGCTTCTCTAATACCGGAGATGGCCTCGCCACATCTAACAGCAAATTTACGGTCTTCCAAGAACGACTTTAGGAACTGGAAGTATGGTCGGGGTAGGCCAGTCTTTAATTTATATAGAAGACCGGGATGCCAGACTCGGTCAAACGCCTGCTTCACGTCCAGCATGACGGCCATGCAGTACTTCTTGGTTTCAAACGCGTCCAGGATGCACTGCACTACCCGATGGCACTGCTCTGGCGTACCGTGTCGCCGCCTGAAGCCAAACAGGTGGTCAGGGATCAGTCCAGCCTCGTCAAATACTGGCAGTGCTCTGCTTAAAAACACTCGTTCAAGTATTTTGGAGAGCGTTGGTAACAAACTTATTGGTCGGTAGGACGAAAGGTTTGCTTCGGGTTTCCCGGGCTTAGGTATCATAGTTACCTAATCATAGCAATCGATTTGATTCGGATGTTTAATTAATAATGCCGCGACCAAGACGATCGAATCTTTCCCGACAAAGCCGTAATGCAAGAAGAATACAAAATACTGCAAATGAAAGGACTGAAGAAGAACAAGAAATTGCACGTGAACAGCGCCGCAATAGTATGGCTCGACTTCGTGCTTCTCAATCACGAGAGCAAAGTGAAGCAGCCCGTGAAACAGCTCGGTTGGCAATGCAGAATCGTCGAGCGAACAACAGAAGTCAACAAATAGATAATTTGCGACGCAGAACAAGATATTTAGCTGATTTGAATCGAGATGCGTTTCGTTACGATTGCAGCAATGATTACAGCTTGCATCCTAGCGTTTGCATTGGGCAAATGGACGTTGTTCCAGGAGACGGACATAGGATACTTTTTATCCCGTTCGACAACGGGAATTATACTCCTCCGAAATTGCTGCTTTTATAGTAATGAATAACAATAAGTAGGCTGAGAGCGTAACGTATTGTACATTTATGTGTGTGTCATATGCCCCTGAAATAGGGGTCCGCCGATTACTTATCTACAGTCACCAATGCCAAGAAAACGCAATTGGGCCAATTTTAGTCATCAAACAGTCAATTCTAGAGCTGCGCGAGATAGAAGAATACGAGATCAGGAGAACAAATTTATAAAGGTAATGAAAAGGCGCGTGTAAGCATGGCGCAGTTACGTGAATCACAATCGAAAGATGCACGAGATGAACATAATCAACAAAGACCACTTTTCAAAGAAGAGAAGTGCACAGATTAATAGTTAGAAGAAGAATTAACTAACAACGGCAACAAGTTTATCGAGGATTCACATCTGGGCAATTTCTTCGACTAGCATTCCAGTAAGAGCCTGTTGAAAATTCTGCTTATTCCAAAAAGATTATTGTGAACATTCAAAGTGAAAGGTCCAAAGTGAACATTCCTTATTTCGCTTCTTCCTGCCGAGTTACGATTAAAAAAAAATGGCAACGCATTGGCCATTGCATCTTCTGGCGTTGCAGCAACCTTATTAGATGGAGGCATAACAGCTCATTCAGCACTTAAGCTGTCATTGAACATTCAAAATAATCCAGATGCAGTGTGCAACATTAAAACAATCGTCTATGGGCATAGTGCCCATATTTTGGATGAATGCATTATAGGACGTAAAAATTCGCTTGGGGAATTGGATTGGTCATTAGGGATATAAGGAACAATGATAAACTATTTTACGGCCCTTTGTTACTCCTTTCAGGTGTTCACGGTGAATGTACGCTGATGAATTCAATGCTTGCTTAAAATCATCGCAACTGTGGCGTAATGTTGAAAAAGAACTGACCAAGAATATGCGCGATCAAATGTTTCAGGATCCATCCTTTCTCTAAACAACTGTTAGATATTGGCGAGGGGAATTTTGCTGTACGTGAAAATAATGGATGTACTTGAAATACTGAAAAACATTTATTAACCAAAATAAATGAAGAAAAAACAGCTAGCCCTTATAGAAAACAAAAAAGGGCAAAACAACGTTTGACGGGGTCGCTAGTAAACCATAAAAGTAAAAAAATTTAATTAGTTTAGTGTAATTTCTTGTGCTTGAACGATCGTTTTTAAGATTTTTTTTTTATGCATATGGGAACGTTTTATGCTAAAAATAAACTTTTTGGTCTCTAGAAATTTCACTAAAAAATTCATTTCGGCGAAAAAAAAAGTTTGTGCGTGAAAAGTCGATCGTTCAAGCACAGAAAAATTTCATTACGAACATTTGAAAAAAAAATTTGAAGTAAATCGGTTCAGTAGTTTTCCGCAAAGTCATTTTTCAAGAAACACCACTTCGAGCCATTCGCGTTTAAAGTTTCAAGTTCAGTTCAAGGACGCAACGAGGCGGGCAGGCGGAAACTTTGTTTCTACTGCTCGAATCTCTATGGAAATTCGGAAAAATGTTCTCAAGAAGTTGTTCTTTAAAATAAAGCAATAAAAAATTTTTTGATTTTTTGAAAATGAAAAAGGTATAAAACCCCTTAAATTGGCTTACATTTCGATTGGTTAGGGATATGATACAATTATACAAGGTAGTCTCGTCGGCAAAAGCTTTTGTCTGTGCGTGTTCGTTTTTTTATTTCATTAACCCTTGTGCAAAAGAACTAGAATATATATATTTTTAAGTCATATTATTGAACAATTCGAAAATCGAAAAATGTCAGAAAACATTACTATTAGCCGTTAAAAATGTTAATATTTTTAAAAGAATTTTATTTCAAAATTAGAATATATTTTAGAATTAAGAACTTAAGCAAAAGATTATTTGTACATAAACAAACGCATAATTTCTAATTTAAAATTGTTAAAAATTAAATTATAACTCAAATCAAACTTAATGCGTTAATGCAGAAATACATAGTCATTTTTGTCACGTTTTTCAAACTTTGACGCCATTTTTTCGATACAACTTCCAAGAAATGGTATATTGAAATTGATTTCATAGCTTTTATTTTTTCATTTTTAGCATTTTTAAACATTGATAAAAGCTATGAAATCAATAAAAATAAGACTGACAAGAATAATCTTCCATTGAGTTTCTATCTTTCTGTTAACTTACATACTGGTACTTACATACTGTTACGGTGCGCTCGAATTTGAATTGACTTGTTTTGGAAAAAGCGTAATAACTTCAACAATTTTAATAATTTCGTAATAAAATTGGTCTTGTTTTATTCAGGATTAATGAGACAATATTAATATGTGTTAAGAATGATACCATTTCTTGGAAGTTGTACCGAAAAAATGGCGTCAAAGTTTGAAAAACGTGACAAAAATTCAAAAAATTCAGTTTTTTTGTAAAATTTGTATCCTTTTTGTTTAAATAAATTGAAGATGTATTTTTTTTTCAAAAGCTACAACATTTAACTATTGAAAAACATAAAAAAAATTGAAAATCGGCCTAAAATTTGCGCGTTCAGGAATTTTTAAGAGCAAAACACTTTCGAAAAACCTTTTTTTCGAAATAAATCAAGATTTGAGGGTGTAGGAAAAATTTCAAACATGGTTTTATACTATACTCGACCTAATGAACAATTCCTACTAGGTCTCTTCAAAAGTTCCTCCAACTTTTCTTTTTTTGTCGCACTGTGTAATCATTAAAATAAAAAATATAAAACAAATTTACTTGTAAAACTGAGTGCGTTTAACCCAAAACCAGAAGTGTATGAGCATTTCTATATTGGTGAGTTTCAAAAATCTATACATAGTATGTTACGACTTCAAATGTTTGCTTACCTCTTTATCCTTTCTTTCTTTCTTATGTTTTCTTTCTGTTTCCTTATGTTTCCGATCGGATTTATTTACTTCTATCCTCTCCTTTCCTTTATACTTGTTTTTTTTTTCCTTTTTTTTCTTTATTTTTCCATCTTTTAGTTTTTTTAATTTTTTATGGTGTTTGCGTATTTTTACATCAATTGGAACTGGTCCTGTAGATGTAATTGTAATATCGTCGTAGCTTGATATTTTGGACAAAAATGGTCGGGCTTCACAAATATTAAACTGTGGCCGTGGCCCAGAATATTCGTTACTGGAAGACATTTTGGTTTCTTTTAAACCACAGTCCAATCTAGACAATGGAATAAGGTCCGCCCCACCAGCTAAGCTAAACTTGTCTGCGCCAATAAAACTTGACAAGTTAAACGAAGTGAGTGAAGGGGTAGATGGATCTTTTGTATTTTTTTTTACTTTTGGAAGGGTTAGTTTAACTTGTTTTTTCAGAAAAATCGCTTCTGAATTAGTTGTTAAAGATAGAGTATCAGGATCATTGTTTGAATCCATATCCTTGAGTGTATCACTTGAAGAGACATATGAAAGATTCTGCTGTTGCATAGAGGATAATTTCTTAGTTTGAGATATTATTGGGGACAGCTTTCGCTCTCTATGTTGCATTGATTCATCTGATTCATCTGATACCTCGATGGGATCTCCTAGATTACCTGTAGGTAGGGATAACAATTTTTCTTGTTTGTGAGAATCTTGAATACATGAATTTTCCAAGCCATATACATCACGATTTAATGCAGAATCTATAAACGAAAAAAATTAATGTTTTTTGTATATATTTTTTGTAGTTACATCTTACTTTCAGATAATTTCATGTTTTCGGGTACCAATGGAGCAACATTGCAATAATTTCGGTCCAAATTTAACTCCGTTTTACAACTTGTCAGATGTTCTTGTGGATAATTACCTGGAAAAAGTACGACCCACATTAATATTTTCATTATGTTTACTTATGATTACAAAAATGACTATTCCTTTGGTATCTGAAAACGAAAATCTTTGAACTTTCTTTATACTTGTTAAGCGAAGGGCCGACAAAAGCTTTTATATCATTTTCGAAGGAATCATTTCCGACCCCATAAAGGATATCCTTGATCAGCATCAACAGCCGGGTCGATATATCCATGTCCGCCAGCTGCTTTGGCATTCACCGTTGAATTTCCCCACCGTTTATCTTCCTTCAAAACCTGGCCTACCGTTTCTACCAGACAGATTGGCCTATAAGACGACGGCTAGTCTCTGGGCTTTCCCAGCATTTATCTACTAGATATCTAGATATAATATCTAGGCTTTTATCCGATAGGGAATTTACCTTCGTGTAGGCATTTATTATACATGTCAACGAAATGTCAGTTATTATACATGTCAGCGAAGCTTACTACGTGCAATAGCAGAGCCAGTTTTAGCGCTCGGTTTGAAACCTCGTCTGGGGCTGGAGCTTTGTTGTTACATAGAGCTCTCGTTCTCAGTTAAATTAACCACGAAAGAAATTCGTTAGATTGGCTGCTGGACTTGTGTTGCGCTTCATATTCAAATTGATCTACGCTTTCCAGAACGTTGCCCCTTTCCAACCCTGAAGATCCATTTCATCCAATACGAAACCAATACATACTTCTATGATCTTAAGTCTCCACTCAAAACTAATATTTTTTTTTTTTTCATAAAGATTACTTATATAACTAAATAACTTAACTTTGTATTTTAATGGTCCGATCTACTGGAATGTGAAGATATAAATATCGCGTTACATTAATTTTATTACACTTCAAATTCTTTCTCTGACTCACGTGTGTCATGGACAAATCCATCCGTTTCTGAATTAGACATCTATTAAATTTAAAAAAATAAATTTGACTCTTAAATACCTAAACATAAAAAACAGCTGGTTCAATTAGTTACTTAAGACTAAACCAGTTTACAGTTAGGTCCCCGGCTGTGTTCTGCAGAGCTGCGCCGAGGCCCTGGGCAAAACTCTCCTCAAACTCTGTAACTGATCTCTGGAGACTTCGATATTTTCTCTAATGTGGATGGAATCATACATTATTCCTCTGCATAAAATGGGCGAAAATCAGACGCTGCATTGTAGAGGCATTTCTAAATTGTCAGCCATTCCAAAGTGGTTTATCGTGGTTGTAGTGGCTTACAAACAGATTTCATTTACACAGACTTTAGTAAAGCATTTGACTCTGTTACCTAATCGCTCCTTTTAAGTTAAAAAAAAGGTCTTTTAGGATCCCCAACTAATCTCCTCAGTTGGATTTCGAGCTTATTAACTGGAACCCTATGTGTCTATTTTGACTCTCCCCTTTTTCCTTTTAAACTTGTTGTCTTTCATGGAAGCCTTCTGGAACCTTTAATCTTTTGACGCTGTTCATTAACGATTTACCCCTTGCCTTAACTAACTTATTTACACTACACTATTTTTCGACGTTAACCTTTGCTTCAATATAAATGCAATAGTGACCAATCGAGACATCAATGTGATTTGGATAACTTTCAAAAATGGTGTTTAGCAAATTACCTACAGTTGAATGGATAAAAATGCACCTCATATCATTTTTATACCCTTGCAGAGGGTATATAAAATACCCTGAATTGATATGAGCATGTCCGTCTGTTTCTACGCGAACTAGTCTCTCAGTTTTAAAGCTATCGACTTGAAACTTTGAAACCCTTCTTTCCTTTGCACGCAGTATATAAGTTGAAACGGCACGGATCGGCCGACTATATCCTATAGCTGCCATTTAACTGATTGATCGGAAATGGTATAACTTCGGTGTTTTTAAAGTAACAGAGTTCAAATTTGACACAAGAGCTATTTTAGCTCATTACGACATGCCAAATTTCATAAGGATCGGTCGACTATATCTTATAGCTGCCATATAACTGAACGATCGAAAATGACCCAACTTTCGTGTTTTTGAAGATAGAAAGCAGAAACTTAATACAGATTCTATTTTTGGCCAGTGGATCCAACCTACCAAATTTCATTAGGATCGGCCGACTTTATCCTATAGCTGCCATATAACTGAGCGATTCGAAATAGTATTTGGTAAAAATATCAACTTTCGTATATTTGAAGATAGAACCTTGGGACTTTTTTTTAGATTTTTTATTTAAGTTAATTGGTTTCATTATGATCTAATCATAAGGATCAGCCAACTGTATCCGATGTTTGAGATATACATCCGGTTTTAACTGCAAAGGTATATAAACTTCGGCTACACCCGAAGTTAGCTTTCCTTTCTTGTTAAAAGAATTTTAGTTCAAAATTAGAATATATTTTAGAATTAAGAACTTAAGCAAAAGATTATTTGTACATAAACTAAAACAACGCATAATTTCTAATTTAAAATTGTTAAAAATTAAATTATAACTCAAATCAAACTTAATGCGTTAATGCAGAAATACTCGCTCACACTACTACGCTGAGACCCTATCACTCGCACTCATTGTTATGACGCACTCATATAACTGATTGATCGGAAATGGTATAACTTTGGTGTTTTTAGAGTTAGAGAGTTCAAATTTGACATGAGAGCTATTTTTGACAAAACATTACGACATGCAAAATTTCATAAGGATCGGCCTACTATATTCTAAAGCTGCCATATAACTGAACGATCGGAAATGACCCAACTTTCGTGTTTTTGAAGACAGAAAGCTGGAACTTAATACAGATTATATTTTTGGTCAGTTGATCCAACCTACCAAATTTCATTAGGATCGGCCGACTATATCTTATAGCTGCCATATAACTGAACGATCGGAATTGGTATTTGGTAGAAAAATCAATTTTATTGATTTTTAATAGACGCTTGGTATTTTTTTTTTAGATTTTTTATTTTAATTAATTGGTCGGATCGGCCAACTATATCCGATGTTTGCAATAAATATCCGGTTTTAACTGCAAGGGTATATAACCTTCGGCTCCGCCCGAAGTTAGCTTTCCTCTCTTGTTTAAATTTAATTTTGAATTAAATTTAAACTTAATATGAAGTTGTAGATTATTATTTTGTATTATTACATTAACTATATAATTTACTTACCAATAGATTCAGAAAGATGTTGACCTCTAAAGGACTCAGATACGGGGTGACGTATAAAAGGGGGAATGGTAAGCCTGTTATCATTAGAACTCAGACCAACCAGGCTAACAGCACCCGGATACAGTCCAGGTCCTGATGGAATTAAACCCGGGCGAGGTGGAAAGTGTAAAAGAGGCAACAATGGCACAACTCCAGTATCAGTTTCGGTACCTGGATATACTGGGTTGCTCGGTAAAGTATTGGGAACAGAAATAAATTGATCTGGATTGGGAATAGTAGATTTTAACTGGCCGGAAACATCGTTTAAAGATACTTTCTCAATAATAGGTTTGGCGCAGATTTCTTTATTCGCCTCAACCAGATAATTTGTTTTGTTTTTCTTTTTATCTTTTTTGTTGTTTGACTTTGGTTGAATACATGGCACAATTCCACTTGTTACTTCTATATTACATAAATTTAGTGGTTCGGTTGAAATTGGAATATTTGTTTGATTGGAAGTGGTAATTAATTGATCCGATGTAACAATGGGGAGGGTTATTACATTTTTAGACTTCTGTTTTTTTTGTAAACTTCCCCAGGAGTTTGTTGTTATACCGGAATTTTCTAAGTGATCTTTGCCTCCAGACTTTCTACCTCGTTTTTTCGGTTTCGTTGTATTTCTTGTTGATATATCAATTCCTATTTTAACTGATGCTGAGGGTTTTTCTAAAATTTCATAATGAATATTGTTAATAGTTTATATTTTAGTATGCTTTGTGTTTATACCTATTGGTGGTGTTGGTGTTATAGTGGTCCCGGACGGTAGATTCAATATTGAATTGCTAGTTAATTTACCAAAAAGTACAGCTGACGTCTCTATTCCATCTTTACGTGTTGCTCGCGGCTTGGAAATTTTTTTAAAAACATCTAATTTATTTCGTTCGGTTTCGCCCAAACTTTTTTTAATTGATAATATACTTTGAGGTTGATGGGATTCAATTTTTTGTACCTCAAAAACTTCCGTAGAATTCATACTTAAATTAGAAGTTTCATCCCTAACTAAACTGATTTTTTCTTCCTTTTCGATAGTTAAAGGGGCGGTAGCCACCACGGATAATGAAAAAGTTTCGCTTGCATTTGTACTGGAGTCTATGTTGGTTTCACTCTTTTCAAGAAAAACAGGGAACTGACATTTCATTTTTTTTTTCTTTAATCTAGCTTGTTTCTTCATAAGTTTTTCTAATTGCAAGTTATTAGATTCGCGCTTCTTAGACTTTTTTGAATGAAATAATTCGCAAATTTTAAACTCATTGTGAGATTTTATATTTTTGTGTTGCACTTTAATAGTTTTATTATTGGTCTTTTCTAGAGTTTTGTCATGTACAATTTTTTTATCTTTCATAAAGTCATTTCTCTGTCTTTTAGACTTTTTAGAAGAAATGCTATTTAACTCATTTGATATCGAAGATAGCAATAAATCATTATTAACTGCATTAGCTATTATTGATTTGTGTCCAAAAGTTTCATATGCTGACATTTGTTGATTGGTGTTTATTTCTCTTAAGAACAATAATGATTCGTTAAACAATGTATTCGGTTTTCTAGAAGATTCAGATGAAGAAGCTACAAATAACGAAGCTGGAGGAGCATCTAGACCCATATATTTTTCTAAAAAGTATTTAAAGTAAAATCTGTATAACCATTATTCAAATGTGCTTACCAATAATATCTGGAACAAAGGCTTCTGGTAATTTTCCTTCAATAGCCGGACTTAAAAATCCTCCTGTTGTCATTACTACGCTACTCATTTCTCGTAAAGAACTACCGTTGTCAAAATCGCCGTAGTTATTAGGGAAAAAAACGACCACATCTGAAGAATGAGCTTCATTAGAATTAAGGTTTAGGTTCTCATCGAAAATAGCTGTTCTCGAATCATTCTTTAAGATTGTTTCATGTGTTTGCAATTCTTTTGAAGGTAGGATCTCGCTTGGAGTCTCAATTGCTGGCAAATATTCAAATATGTGAACCGGACGGGTTAAAGTTTCAGTATTTCCAGCCTTAAGAAAATTCATGTTTGATAACCGTTTAATAGGAAATTGTCCAATATCTCTGTTTGAAACCACTGGTTCAACATTGACAATGTAATCCAATATTTCATAAATATTCATGTGGAGGTTTTTTAAACTCTGACGTGCATCTTTTAAGTCTGGTTCAAGTCGATTAGCTAACGAAAGGGAATACAGAAGACGAAAAATAAATTAAAATCAGTATATAAGTCGGTACGTCCAAGATCCGCAGACTATATTCTGTAGCTCCCATATAATTTAACGATCGCAAATGTCTTTTGGTGTTTTTTCATTTTAATTATCAGAAATTATTAGGTGTACAACAAGTAGAAATCCGCCGATATCGACTAGGTGGTGCCATCTTCACAAAACGGTGAGAAATTTTGATCGGGAAAGCCAAATGGCGAGCTAAAGTATCGGTCAACTACTCTACAATGTCTCGTTCGTGTATTCTTATTGTCTATCATTTTGTTGGTGCACAAAAATGTCGAAATTCGAACCGAATAAGCGTCATTTGCGGGAGATTTTGCATTTCGCGTTCAATTTGGAAAAATCGGCAGCTGAAGCGCGTCGAATGATCGTAGAAACTTATTATGAGTCGTGTATAAGTGAAAGAGCGTGTCGAGAATGGTTTGCAAAGTTTAAAAATGGCGAGTGGAAATGACGTGGAAGACAAGGATCGACCGGGTCCTGTGAAAAAGTTGGAAGACGCGGATTTGGAGGCTCAGCTGGATGAAAACTCTTGTCAGAAACAATATTTTGAATATTGTATTGGAAAATATTTTGAATAACTGGTCTGTAGCTATATATATGCATTAAAGCCTAAAATTATAAAAAAAACGTCGGTTTTCTACTTTTACACTCAATTTATAAATTTTTTCGTAGGTATTACGAACCATCTATATATGGGCATTTCCACAAAAAGGTCCACCGCTGCCAAAAAATTAAAAGTTCTTGAAAATGGTTTTTTTCAACATAGTTACATAAGAAAATATTCAAGTTTATTAAACTTTGCATTCATCTTTTACAGATTTCAAACTATTCGAATGCAAAGTCGCGCAAACGCAGCTGTTTTCCGTATGATGTTTGTAGGCCATATTTTGTTTTTATAACAACTTCTAAAATAAATGCATTATGCTTATGCTTTCCCTTTTGCTTTCTAAAATCACTTCGATATTAAATGAATGGAATCGGAACGCAAATGTAAGATGCGATCACCAATAACGGTAAAAATTTTTATTTACATCAGAGGTGGGCACAAAATCTAACAGTCGGAGCCACAGCTCGACCAGACAACAAATTACAACAACAACCACCACCCTCGCGATGTTTGTAGTCGCGTTGTGCGACAACGCACCCTTAATAATTGTTGTTGCAAACTCGGGACCGCTACCTGCTTCGAAATTTGTGTAGTATTGTTTTTGTAAATCTTCACGGCTCACTGACCGCGTGACTCGATCGTCTGGCCCGATTTGCTGGCGCCAAAAATTACGAATAACGGGGGAAGCCTTGAAAGCCCAAGGAGCCATGGGCTTGCCCTGATTTACATTATCGCTTAATCTATTGTACCGTGCGTGACCAAAAAACAACAATTTTTATCCGTAGATCCAAAGCACTTGCTCGGATTGCATAAAATTTTTTTTGCAAACAGAGTTTGTGTGTGCAGTAAATATTAAAAAAACACAAAAAACAAGAAAAGAAGCTAACTTCGGGCGGAGCCGAAGTTTATATACCCTTGCAGTTTAAACCAGATATATATCGCAAACATCGGATATAGTTGGCCGATCCATATGGGAATATGAATATATAATCCAATTTATTACAATACAAAATCTAAAAAAAGTCTCAAGCTATCTTCAAAAATCTTGAAAAGTCTCAAGCTATCTTCTATCTTCAAAAATACCAAAGTTGGTATTTCTATCAAAAACCATTTCCGATCGTTCAGTTATATGGCAGCTATAAGATATAGTCGGCCGATCGTAATGAAATTTGGTAGGTCGGATTAACTGACCAAGAATATAATCTGTACCAAGTTCCAGCTTTCTATCTTCAAAAACACGAAATCCGATCGTTCAGTTATATGACAGCTATAGGATATAGTCGGCCGATCCTTACGACATTTGGCATGTCGTATTATTTTGCCCTCGTGCCCTATTAAAAATAGCGCTCGTGTAAAATTTGAACTCTCTAACTTTAAAAACACCGAAGTTATACCATTTCCGATCGTTCAGTTATATGGCAGCTATAGGATAGCCAAAAATAGCGCTCATGTAAAATTTGAACTCTCTGACTCTAAAAACACCGAAGTTATACCATTTCCGATCAATCAGTTATATGGCAGCTATAGGATATGGTCGTTCCGACTAATACACCGAGTGCAAAGGAAAGAAGGGTGTGTGCAAAGTTACAAGTCGATAGCTTTAAAACTGAAAGACTAGTTTGCGTAGAAACAGACAGCAGACGGACATGCTCATATCAACTCCTGGTGATCCTGATCAAGAATTACTTTACAGGGTCGGATATGTCTCCTTCACTGCGTTTGACACTTTTGATTAAAATTACAATACCCTATGCAAGGGTATAACAACAAAAATAGTCGAATAGGAATAGGAAAATAGGAATCACGGTTGGTTCAGTGGACGAGCGATTCTCGCTGCCAAGAACAAAGATGTCTACCAGCTCAATCATGTAATCAAATCCAGTATAGAAACTGAGGAAATTACATATAAGAAACGAAGAATATTGTATACTGACAAGTATTACAGAATTAAATGAATTTGAAAATTATTATTTTTTGTTTGACTTATTTCTTATGCGTGCAACCACAATATGCCACAGCGGAACGTGGCAGGATACAACTATTACTATATGTATATAAAAACTATGTTAGATAAATATAAAAGTATATTATTGACATAAGCTGCTACTTAACTGCAAGGGTTGTAAACTTCAACTAGACGACCTATGACCACCATGACAATGGCACATTTTTTAATTTTTTCGAGATGAAACTCATCTTCTATTATATAAAAATGGATCGGGTTTTCATGTATGACGCTATGGACTCCAGAACGCACGAACCGATTTACATGGTTTTGAATTCGTTGGAAAGGTCTCAAGCTGCGCAAGGTTTAACATACTATACTATAAACCAATATTTTAAGTAGAGCGCGCAAGCGCGTAAAACATTGTTTGACAGATACTCATTGTTCTCTGCTGATTTCATGTGACAAACCGGCATTGTGTTTTCTGTCAAATTGTGAAAAAAATTTGAAAAAATAAGTTATTCGTTTTCTAACGTTTTAATTGAAAAACATCAAATCAGTCATGTGTATTTTTATTCAATTTCAAGAGAAGGAATCTTTAAGGTCTTTAAGGTGGTAAGTTGAACTATGTAAAATATGTGGATCGTGCATTTGAGGTTAAATTTACCACTCTGTCCATAGTCTTAAATGCCTAGAGGACCATCTTCGAACATCGGCCGCCGCGCAAGACATGCAGTGCAAACTACTGTGAGGATGAAAATAGATATTGGACCACTGACGACTATATGCCGATATTGCAATGCAATAAAGTTCAAAAGAGAAACGACTGGATTGTGCTGCGCAAGTGGAAAAGTCAAACTGGGTCCATAACTTACACCACCTATGCCACTGAAAACATTGTTCGATGGAAGAGATCCCGATTCAGCCATTTTCTTCCACACATCCTTAAATACAATAACTGCTTTCGCATGACTTTCTTTGGAGCAAGTGTTATACGAGAAGGCGTCTTCATGCCGACTTCCAAGGTAAAAGATACAACACACAAAACCAATTACTCACTCCAACACTATGAATTGCAACACATAACAACTACATATACTACACTACACTACACCATCACTAGATCAGAAGTTACACCGTATTCTTCAACAAATGATTGTTTGCAATTACAGATACAAGGACAAATATATCATTTGCAATTTCTGCAAATAGATTTCATTTCGTCAGCTGGATCAGCTAAATGTGCGGTGAAATTTACAGGGAACACAGAAGCAATATCATGCATTGTGTAAACGAGACACATCGTTTGTACGATGCGTTACAATATCCAATCATTTATTGGCAAGGGCAAGACGGATACGACATCACGTTGAAGATGGTTGATCCAATTACAGGTACGATACTGACACACTAATTATTGCTATTATTGATTTCCACTAACAATTCATTTAATTTTGCATTTTCAGGAGAATCAACGAATAAAAATCTAAGCCCAATGAATTATTATGCGTATTGTATGATTATTGAAGAGAATGTACACATGAAGAGAATGTCATTCTGAAGTGCCGTCGGCTATTCTAACAATTCAAAGTCGAGACCAAACGTTTAGCGTTCATCCGATTCAATCAGGCAAAGCTACGATCTGAGGACTATATAGACTTGTGTGATAATCTTCATTCAGATGGTGATGTTCAGAATATTGGACGTCTGACGATTCTCCCATCATCTTATTCGAAAGCCCACGCCACATGCACGAATACGCTCAAGACGCTATGACGTACCTGCGAAATTATGGAACTCCTGATTTATTTATTAAGTTCACATGCAATTCGAAGTGGACCGAAATTGATCGACAGGGTATTTCAGTTAAAACTCAAGGTTTTGATGGATGTGCTTAAAAGGTATCGAGTTTTTGGTGACACACGTTCTCGGTGGAATGGCAGAAGCATAGACTACCGCATGCTCATATCCTTATTTGGTTGCTGAACAAATTACATTCAAATGAATTGGTTGACATCATATCAGCTGAAATTCTCCATCCAGTCACTGATCCTCATCTACACGACATTTCTACGCGAACAAGTCTCTCAGTTTTAAAGCTATCGACTTTCACACGCCCTTCTTTCCTTTGCACGCAGTATATAAATTGGAACGGGCGGGATCGGCTGACTATATCCTATAGCTGCCATTTAACTGATTGATCGGAAATGGTATAACTTCGGTGTTTTTAAAGTAAGAGAGTTCAAATTTGACATGAGAGCTATTTTTGGCAAAATACGACGTGCCAAATTTCATAAGGATCGGCCTACTATATTCTATAGCTGCCATTTAACTGAACGATCGGAACTGGTATAACTTTGGAAATTGGAATAACATAGGAAATTGCTCTGCCCGAGCTCCGCCACACACACACAGTATAAATGTGTGAAACGTCATGCTCACAGCCTACTTTCTGCTATTCGTTACTAATACTAAAAAATTAATAATTTAAAAATAATATCAATGTATTGGGGTGCCGACCACTGTTTTAAAGTTAGAGATTTCGCATTTTTGCGTGCTATGAGTGCTATGTTTGGCAAAAAAATACAATCTACCAAATTTCATAAGGATCGGCCGACTATATCTTATAGCTGCACTAAAACTGAACGATCGGAAATGGTATTTGGTGTTTAGTAAAAATACAAACTTTTGTATTTTGGAAGATAGAAGCTTGGGTCTTTTTTTAGATTTTGTATTGTAATAAATTGGTTATATTATTATATTATCATAATGATCGGCCAACTACATCCGATTTTAGCCATATATATCCGGTTTTATCTGCAAGGTTATATCAACTTCGGCTCCGTCCGAGGTTAGCTTTCCTTTCTTGTTATATTATTATTTTTGTATTTAGTGACGAATCCAAATGTAACATTTTTGGGCATGATGGCCCCTGGTAGAGTGCGGAGAAAACCCAATGAATCAATGAAGGAGAAAAACTTAAAACCCACTGTGAATCATGGAGAGGGGAATGTCACGGTTTGGGGGTGTGTAGCTTCAAGTGGAGCTGGTAGAAAGGTGTTTATCGAAAAAAAAAAAATAATTTGGACCGAAAATTAAATACCCAGAGTTGAAAAAATTGGCCTTGATCCATCAACATTCTTGTTCCAACAAGACAACAATCCAAAACACGCTTCATTTTTAGTGCAGGACTAAAACTTTTACATCTCAAAATCCCAGTCACCAGATTTAAGCCCCATAGAACTTGTTTGGAAGATTCTTAAAGAAAAGAATAAGAAAGCACATTTTGTCCAAGGAAAGCTTAATGCTTGGCATGCTGAATGCGACATTAGTCCCACTGAAACATCAAATTTAATAAAAAGCATGGATCGACAATTACAAAATTTCAAAGGAAAGCCCACTTAAAAATCAATAAATATTAAAAAAAAATCCACAGTAGTTCGTAATAAAAATAAAACTGTCCATGTTTGCCGTTAAAACCCGACTGTTTCATTTTATAGTAGATTTAAGCAATAAAAAAGTTAAAAACTAAACAAAACATATTTTGTTTGAAATATATTTTAGGAATCTCTACAAGTATTATGTAAGAATAATATTTTCGGTACCTTGTTTATTTTTTTAGTTATAAATAAATATGTATGTATGGATGTATTGAGCATTGCTTACCGTGCTCCATGTTGCAATGAAGGTCTTGAGCAAATTCTTGCACAAACTTTTTCATAATGTCTTGTAATAATTCCAATGGGGAACTAAAAGTATAGCTGTATCCTATGGTTTGCGATATTTGTGCAATAACTACACGAAAAAGATCTGAAGAATATTTTTCTGCCATTGCAATTTTTACATTTAAGAGAATCAAAATATTGAGTGACCAGAAAAATTCAGTTTTAACATTGTATCAGTGTGACCGATCGATCGTTTAAAATTTAAATATACCAAATCCCAATTTTTGTACAATTCATCAGAATTTTTTAAGAAATACACTTTTTACAAGTTCGAATACACTATTACACTGGATGCATATTTGTATAATATGTGAATCAATAACCAGTAGCGATCATGATGCAGTGAATGTTTGTTCTGCTAAATTTCCACCTGGCCAACGCGTATGGACCAGTTAAAGAATTCCTTGCTTATTTATTTTCTGAACAATGAATGCCTAGAACTCTAATATTTTCCCATTTAAAAATGTTTAAAAACATAAATACAATTTTTACTAAAATATATATTGACGAGTTATAACACTGAAAAGTGGCCCATTTAATTAATTAATTATAAGTCGTTTTCAAGATCGTCCACAGTAAATGTAAAAGTCGCTTCACCAACATATTCTTCATATGTTATAGCTGTAATATTTGACAAAAAACCCAACCCAACACACGGGGTGACCCCCTTAAATGAGAACAGAAAACATAAATCATTCTATTCTTTGACAAATCCCTTGCTATTGTGAAATGCATTATGGAAGAAGACAGATCGAACCGGACAGGCTCTATAATAATTTTTGATATAGTAAACTAGAAAGAAAAAAAAAACGGAAAGAGGTGTGATAATGAAAGATTTCAGATAATTTTGAAACTACATATATTGGTAGATAAGTTTTTACACACGCAGCCCTTCCTACCTCTCAGAACACACTCTGGGTCGTCGGCGACTGGTCAAAGACTGAGCGTCGCTCTTCCGCTTCGCTACACCAGGGAAACTCCACGCATACGGGCTAGCGAGTCTGGATCGGGAGTTGGCCGCTGACTATCGCCTCCACTACACCTGGGAACACAGCGTATACGCGTTAGCGAGCCCGGATAGGAACTTGCCGTCAAAGAATGTGCGTCTGCACTACACCGGGGAAAACCCCGCGCATACGCGTCAGCGAGTCCGGATCGGGAGTTCTTTGACTGGTGACCGGGGTGTTTCCGATCGGTTTCTTAACTGGGCTCACCCAGTAACTGGGTTTCTTAACTGGGTGAGTTCACGAGCCGGCCTATCCTTGACTCGCAGGAGAGCGCCTGTTTGTCGCGATTCAGAAGTCGTTAAGGCGTACGTCAGACTTGTACCTTACTCGCTTCGTAGCAATGCTACCTGCCGTGCACGGGAATGGCCCAAATTGATTCTGATAACTTTGTCTTTAGAGGAACCGTCCTGCAACGGATCCCTTCTTAGCTCGTCCTTCACACTCTACTCTCCTTGGGCTGTTGAACTCTCCAGAGGCGATCCTTCAACTCAAACTACCGGGTCCTTTTTAGAAATTATCTAGTACTTGAATGTCGGACAATCCAAGGGTGGTCCTCCTACTCAACGCTACATGCTTTCTAAAAACACTCGTCCCGATCGTTGAAAATTCATCTGCAACCTCTGATGCGGCCATTGTCGGTCTATTCGCAAAATTTTTTCTAACTACTTACTCTCTAGCTAAAATGACAGATCAAAGATGGCTTCCGAAATGGATTTGAAACTGATGTTATTTACACAGACTTCAGAAAAGCAATAGATTCAGTTTATTACTAACTCCTGTTAAAAAACTGAAGCTGTTAGGATGTCCTTCAGACCTTCAGAAGAATACAAAGAGTCTTATTTAAAAATTTACTGTGCTTGGTCTGTGCTATATCTGGAATCACTCAAGCAAGTCATCTTGGCCCGTTACTGTTTACTCTTTTCAATGACTCGCAAGTACGTATGTATGCAGACAATGTTAAACTTTGTCTTGAATACAATTCTGTTTCTGCCCAATGCAAAATTCAATTCGATCTCCAAAATGTTTATAAATGGTGTTTAGCGAATGATTTTAGCCTTAATGGATCAAAATGAAAACTGATGTCTTTTTATCGTTCTTGTTTTCTGCAAGCTTCAAATTTTTTCTATGGAATTACCTTAGAAAACTTAACTCAGGTCAATGATCTTGGTGTCCTATCTGACTTAAAACTTAAATTTTCAAATTTGTTAATGAAAATAAATATCTTACGACCGTTAATTTTCCTACAAGTTTATTTATTTCTTTGGTTTGTCGGATACTTGAATACGGTTCATGTGTCTGGAATCTCCAATATATAGTACATCAAGGCCCCATTGAGTCCGTGCAAAAAAAATTCTTTACATTTGCCCTTAGAGGTTTTAACTTGGATGCAAATCTTCAACTTCCTTTGTATCGTAGCAGACTCTTACTAATAAACTTACCCCCTTGTCCTATCGTAGGACAATGCCGTTAGTCGCTTTTTTACATAACCTTATTTTTTTTTTTTTTTTTATTTACCATATTTTATTAACAATGAACTGTTATTTCTATATTATTATAACTAAGAGTAAGGATAAATTAAGTTAAAAGATATTCCATAATTTTGGATTTAATTACATCTAGGGATAGTTCAGGGGACATTAAATGGGATAACGAGTAATAATTTTTACAGATAACGCGGAATGGATCGTGTTCCGCAAAATTAGATCTAGAAATCGGTAACCAAAGGGGTCGAAATGATCTAGTTACTCTATTAGGCACAGAAAACATTAATTTTTCAAGAAGTTCTTGTGAGTCAACCTGTCCAAGAATAAGCACATGAAGCAGCATAACCCCAGCACAAGTACGGCGCTCTTTCAAAGGAGGTAGGTTTAGTAATTTTAACCGGCAATTGTACGACGGGAGGGAAGTGGCAGTATCCCAGTTTAAGCCTTTTAACGCAAATAGCAGAAACTGCTTTTGGACTGATTCAATCCTCCTTTGGTGAACAAAGTATTGCGGACTCCAAACGCTAGAACAGTATTCCAAGATAGGACGAACCAACGATACGTATAGAGTTTTAGTTGTGAAAGGATCATCAAATTCTTTAGACCAACGTTTGATAAAAGCTAGCACGCCTCTGGCTTTATTGACTGTTAGTGATATGTGGTCGTTGAAGGACAACTTATTGTCAAAAATTACTCCAAGATCGTTAATTAGGAAAACACGATCTAAGACGTTATTCCCAAGAGAGTACGAAACGATGTGAGGCACACTGCGATTGAACGTCATAACCTTACACTTAGAGCAGTTAAGCAAAAGGAGATTGTTTGAGCACCACAAGAAGACTTCGTTAAGGTCTAGTTGCAAGTGTCTATGAAGGAAATGGTCTGAGAAAGAAAGACATAACTTGACATCATCAGCATACATAAATGTAGTAGCATAGTTTACAACACTAGGTAAATCGTTGACAAAAAGAACAAACAGAAGAGGTCCTAAGTGACTACCTTGTGGGACACCAGATGAAACATTTATAATCTGTGATGAACTGTTTTTAAACAAAACACGCTGCGTGCGGTTCGATAGATAAGAGGTCAACCACTGTACTATATGAGGAGAAAACCCCAAAAGACACAGCTTATGAAGGAGGAGATGGTGGTTCACAGAGTCAAACGCTTTACTAAAGTCAGTGTACACCACATCAGTTTGCATGCGGCTCAGAAAACCTCTGTGGATAAACGAAGTGAATTCAAGAAGGTTAGTCGTGGTAGAGCGATGTTTGACAAAACCATGCTGTGAAGTGGAAATAATACTTTTACAAAAATGTTGCAGTTGGAAAGTAACCAGTTTCTCAAGCAGTTTGGGAATCGCAGATAGCTTAGCAATCCCCCGGTAGTTCTCAATAAGTTCTTTAGAGCCTTTCTTATGAAGCGGAATAATAAAAGATTCATTCCATCTCTTGGGGAATTATTGGTGATTTTTACCAACAAGCTTACATTTTAACGTTCCTAAGAGAAGAACAAGAAACTTGAATCCTCTATTCCTCAGACATTGTAGTTCAACATATGCGCAACACGTAATGTTCGAACTACAATGGTCTCTACCGTATCATCGCACTTTCCTCTACTTCAAAAACTTATATTTTAAATTTTCTAAGTAATTATTCCTAATTATTTTTCTGCGTTTTTTATTTAGTTAATAACTTGTTTTCCGAGCCCCTCTTTTCGTATGGGCCTCTTAGCTTTATGATGAATGCAGGATTGCTACCTAGTGCATTTATTGGCACGAGACTTTCTCTCAATTCTGAAAGAACAAGAAAACAATAATAAATGTTTGTAGGGGGGCGTGGTTGCCGCAAAAGATTCCAGGAGTAGAAATGTTGAATAAAAAAGTCGGGGGCGTCTTCCAGTAACGCGGTCAGCTTTATTGGGCTGCTTACATCGAATACTGAGCTTAACTAAGCAGGAAAACAGGCAACGGTAATAGAAAAAATACGATCGACGACGGCCGCCGAAGGAGCGAGAGTGCAAAGAGGGGCGAGCGCGGATGCGCTCTTCAGCGTGGGTGCGCTCTTCAGTGCTGGTGCGCTCTTCAGCGCGGGTGCGCTCTTAGGTTCAGCTGAGCGGCACAACGGCCCCTCACGTAAACATCCTCCCCCCCCTTGCAATCGCTCGGGTTGCAACAGATCCCTCGTCGCTAGCTATGCGTCACTGCAGCTAGAGGGCGTACACGGGTCGAAGATCCGGGTCCCGGTGTTGTCGCTGTTCCGGTTCAGCAGCGACGATAGGGTGGGCGCAGCGACGAATGAAGTGAAGCACTTGACGGCTGCCGGCCAGTGGCGGAAGAGTGCCGAGGAGTTATCGAAGAGTGCCGGGAAGTCGGCAGCTGTGGATCGGTTTGGGAATGCCGGAAAATGGCGGACGCAGGGCGAGAAACAACCGAACCGCGCCGGGAGTTGGCGGATGACGGCCGACGAGAGAGCGAGACACCCCGTGTACTGTCTCCCGCGGGCGGTGACCGGTGCTCCTTGGTCACGGGGTGCAGCAGCGTGTGGTGATCCTGACCACACGTCTTACAGCCGTCCCCACGCCGACAGGATCCGTCGGAGTGCTCGTGGGCCAGGCAGCTCGAGCAATAGCGGTTCACGAGAACCGCTCGGAGCCGCTCCTTGCCACTAAGGCGTAGGAAGCGCCGACACTT